GGGTGTTGTAAGAATGATGAAGTCAACATGTACTAATGTGCTGGACACAAATGACGTATGTACAGATTGTGATGAGTTGTATGAGTCCCTAGTAAAATGAAAAAAAATTTTTAATTGATCAAAAGTCATGATGTGACTCTATAGGAGGTGTGGGCCTCATTTGGCAAATGAACCACATGGGAAACTTGTGGAAGGCTGCTTGTTTCATGTCAAACAAGGAAAAAGAAACGTGTAAGTTCAAACCATATGTAGGGTGATGGCATGTTTCGATTGGAAAGCGTGAGCAGTTTCAACACTTACTGAGTCGTTCGGTGCAAGCACTCAAATTATAGTGCAGGTGATGTTTTGTTCTAGAAAGTGGGTATCACATAAGGAGAATGCTAGTAACTATTCAACCACAAAGGATTTTAAGGTTTTTATGTTTATTGTGTGTGTGTTTTTTTAATCTTCTGTTCATCATCCACTCTGATACAGGTAAGGCTTTCATGGGCTTGGCTTCCTAAATCTGTTTCCAAATTAGCTTCTTTATTCACGTTAAAAGGTTATTGATGTTGTTAACTTGACAGGTTCCGTATGTGAGCACAGTCAGGGATGATGCTGTGGGAGTCATTCTGAGCTCCCATTCAGGTCAATGGAAGATTCAGTATGGACATTGTTTTCCTCGTGCTTATTTCATTTGACAGGTTATCGACATTACCCTTTGTCGTTTGCTTATGCGATCCTATGATGTTGTTTAACACCCTGTTCTCTTTGCTCAGATTTCCAGGCCCTCCACCACTCAACAACGCAGCTCCCTCCTACCCACCATATTCTGCTTCCACACCATCGGCTTATCCAAGTCCTGGGTCCACTTCGTCTGTCACCCAACTGGGCAATCAGCTCAGTGCCATGCAAATGAACAACTATGGTACAGGTTCCATTTTTAATATTCACTGGCTGCCTTATGCCTGTTACTTCCTATTGCCTTTTCGTTCTGTGTTTAGGTCCTGGGGAGCATGGAAACTCGTGTCGTGAGGCAGTAAGGAGAATAATAGGAGAATAGCCAGTCACAGGACTGAGATATTCATCAATAGAAGCACCCTGTAGTCTAGGAGCCGGAGACATCCCTAATGCAATTAGCAGTATAGTCAGCCATTTCTTTTGAAGAAGAATGTGTCAAGGGGGCTTAGAATTGCTCTTTTGAAGTCTTTTTAAAAACCCCTGAGCATATTTCCTACCATCCACTAATTTCAAAATGGATAGTCTCCAAAGATGTGTCTCGATGTCACATGCTTAGAGAAAGGAACATGTAATCTGGCTTCCCAGCAAGTTTGACACTGAGCAGAAATCATGTGAATAGCCCATTTCTGGATTTTTCTACCTAGCTCTATGGTCCATCTGACCAGTTCCCGCACAGGATGGACATGCCTTATTGGATGTGGGTTACTGGAGAATATTTGAAATGTAATAAAATTCCCTCCTACATAATTTTCTACATTTTGTACCAAGCAATTCTTCATATATCAATAAAGTTGTTAAAAATGGTTTGTAAAAAAACCCATCAGAAAAATAGAATGACAAGATTTAAAAAAACAAAAACAAAAGCCAACGAATTCTTGTACCACTCTCTCAGTGAAGATTTCATTTGGGGACAAAACAGATGATCCTGAAAGGTCCCTTCTTACCTTATGAAGGGAAAACAAAGTGCCCCCGCCCCTTACCTTGTAGGAGCCAGGACACTGAGAAATGGGGCATGCAGTGATTTTTTATTCTCTCTCCCATAGGCTCAAGCATGGGTGCCCCCAATCAGGGGCCCCCTGGACCTCCAGCGGCAGCGCTCCCGGGTCCTTCCCGGCCTCCACCACCGTCCATCTTGCAGCCAGGATCTCAGGTGCTCCCACCACCACCCACTGCGCTAAATGGCCCTGGTCCCTCACCCATGTCTCCGCCGACGCACAGGCCAGATGGGCTTCCTGGGCCTGCCCCACCGAATGCACATTACCAGCCGCCACCTCTTCCAGGACAGACCCTGGGCACTGGATATCCTCCACAGCAGGGTAAGGTGGTCAGGACTCATTGGTTGTAGTTTGTGCCCCTATGTTAGTACACATCTATCACTTTTAAGGAAGAGTGGGTTTTTAATAGTTTATCAAGCAACAACAAAGAAAGAACCACAGATAGTCAAACCTAACTTTCTGTAGAAATACTGTTCTTTTGTTCACTGATAGCGAGTCGGTTCGTAATGCACAACAGAATGAACCCCTGCCTGGGCCTGCGCCCTCCTCACAACTGCTCCTGTGTTTGAGCCCATGGTTGCAGCCACTGTGTCCCTCCAGCTCCTTGAGGGCCTCCCTCTCCTCCACTTTACCAAGCATGATGTCCTTCTCCAAGGCCTGGTGTCTCCTGACAACATCCAAAATATGTAAGACGAAGTCTCGCCATCCTGCCTTCTAAGGACCACTCTGGCTATACTGCTTCCAAGACAGATAGGTTTGTCTTGAGCATTCCGTGGTTCTGTCCGTGTTCTTCTCCAGCACCACAATTCAAATGCATGGATTCTTCTCTGGTCTTCCTGATTCAATGGCCAACTTTCACATGCCTATGAAGCAATGGAAAATACTATGCCATAGGTCGTGTTGAAAGGAAATATCTTAAATAATTAAATTAGTAAAAGAATGAAACAGAACTTATTTCATGAGATGAAACATACAATATGATGCTCTCCGTGACCCTTGTCTCTGGAGTTTACATTTAGAGTCATTTCTTTTTTAAAACTGTTTTCAAGCTGCCAACTATGGTGCTCAGATGGCAGGCCCACAGCTTGGCTACCCCGGAGGCTTCCCCGGAGGGCCTGCCCAGATGGCTGGTCTCCCGCAGCCCCAGAAGAAGTTGGATCCTGATGCCATCCCCAGCCCGGTAAGTGCTCCTCTAAGCTTAGCAGTTCCAGTGACAGAAGACTGTCCTGCATTCACTGTTCCCAGAGGCAACCCCTCACTATCACAGTCTCACTACCATTGAGGCAACTCAGACTCATAGTGACCCTACAGGACAGAGAAGAACTGTCTGTTTCCGGGCTTGTCAATCTTTGCAGGAGTAGAAAGCCTCGTTTTTCTCTCATGGAACAGCTGGTGGCTTTGAACAGCGGACCTTGGCAGTTGGCAACCCACCACATACCCATTATGCCACTAGGGCTTCTTCAGATTTCACAGTAGTCAAGTCTTATTCCTTGCAGTGTGCATCTCACCCTCCACCTTCCAGTTCCTCCTATGAAGATACTGGGAGTCATTCTTGATGCTCTTTCTCTTGCTTTTTAATTTATAGGATTTTTTGGCTAATCCTTTTGGTCCTGCCCTACCTACCCATTCCATTCCAAGTCTTGATGAAGCTGGCATAATTCATTTCCACACTTCTTTTAGACCCTGATTGTCGATCCCTGCTACCCCATCCACACCACTCCGTATTCACTGCACTTAGCATTTCCTGACCTAGAACACACAGTTCTATACATTGTGTGCTTATGACCTACAGTGTCAGCTTGCTGAGGGCAGAGATTTTATCTCCATGTCTCTAATACCCAGAACACGATCCGACACATAGTATGAATTCAGATATTTGTTGAATGAGCAAATAAATATTAACAACTAAAATATTACGCAGTATATACTGTCATTAAAATATACTTGTATATCAATCCAGCACCTATTTTTGTCGTGAAAGTAATGAAACAGCAAGCAATGCCAAATGGAGCCTGTTCAGGTTCTTTCTTTATTTATTTTTTTTACCAAAGTGGCATTCTTTAGCCAACTAAATAAAGTCTTCTTTCATAGAGCCTGACATCGAGCTTTTTTTTTACTGTTAGGAAACTTGTTCAGGCTGCTCCTTGAATGTCTGATAAACAATCTTGCATTTGTAATAAAATAAAATATCCTGAGCACAAAAGGAAAAAAATCTCTATTCTTCTAAATCTGCTCATATGCAGTGTACTTTTTTTATTCATGTTTGCTAAAGCTGTTTATCTTTAATATTTATCTCTTGAGCCCTGGGGGCAGAGTGGTGACGAGCTGGGCTGCTAACTGCAAAGTCAGCAGTTCAAAACCGTCAGCCGCTCTGCGGGAGAAAGCCAGAGCTTTCTACTCCTGGAAAGGGTCAGTGTCCGAAGCTCACAGGGGCAGTTCTGCCCTGCCCTCGAGGGTCACTATGAGTCAGAATCAGTTCAAGGACAGTGAGATTCATCATCTATTGTACTCTTATTGGTGATAAGCCCACAATACACTTCTGGAGTTGGGGACAGAGGCTATGGAAACACATTCGTAGAACTCTTGTTGTTCTCCCATCCTGATGTGTCAGGTGTCCATTACAACCCTTCTGCATGGTTGTCTTATCCATGTTTGAAATTGAGCAAATGGGTGTTGTCATCAAAACTGCCGCCCACACTCTGTGGACTCTGAGTCCACAGAGGGTCATTCAGAAGCATTCCCCCCTTTCTCTCACCACCTCAGAGTGCAAGAAATGCCGCAAGGCAGCCTTTCTTCCTGACGCCCACCCTTCCAAACTCCTCCTTGGTGTCTCCCTCATGCTTGTTCCTTTTTCACAAGAGAATCGTTTTCCAGGTTTCTTTTTTCCCTCCATTCTATTTTATGAACCGAGAATACTCTGTGCATAGCAATTAAATATAGAAGTCATTCCCGTGACGCATCTTCTTCTGAAAGAAAAAGAAATCTGTACATTGTTGAGGTAATTTTAGCATTATCCAGCATCACTGTCATAATATCAAACTAAGTACTGAACCAGTCAAAATCGCTCTTGAAATTTCTGCTCCCTCTTTTATGTCTGGTCCCTGTTTTCCAGGGTTTGCATTTAACTTGCAGTTTTCAAAATTGCTAGAACTGTTAGACTATTTCACTCTCTTCTTGATGGTGTTCTAGCCAAGATGTAGAGTAATTTAGACATGTAATTACCTTGTACAACATTGTTTCTTTGGGAACAGTGCTTTCTAAACTGCAAATGACTGGCTTAAAAAACGAGCATTTTGAAGAGTGACATCCTTACTCTTTTTTCCCCCCCACTATTTAGCCTAAACCTTATTTATTTTTATTTTTATTTTTTTAAACATTTTATTAGGGGCTCATACAACATCCTTACTCTTAAAATACACTCTATTTTAAGACTGAGAACTGTTGACACTTAGCATGTATAGGTCATTGTGACTTTGGCCTGGCTTTCATAACTGACTCTTAGTTGGAACAATTAAAATAAATCTTGATGACAAATAAAAACTATTCCAATTTTGAGTAAGCCAGATGAACCTACGGTGTGAAAGGAGAGGGTTTTGACTCTTTGACTTGCTGGTCTCTGTGGCAGCTCTTACTCCCATCTGTGTCATATTGTCATCGCTGGGATGGTTCTACTCAGAGTGACCCCATGTGCACCAGCGTAAAACACTGCCAGGTCCTGTGCCATCCTCACAACGGTCCTATGGCTGAGCCCATTGCTGCAGCCACCGTGAGGGTCTTCTTCTTCCTCACTTCCCCTCTACCAAACCAAGCATGGTGTCCTTTTCCAGGGACTGGTCTCTTCTGACAACATGTTTGTGTTAGTCTGGGTGGACTAGAGAAACAAATTCATAGACCCTCATATGTGCACAAGAAAGAGCTTTATATCAGAGTAATTGTATATTAAGAATACATCCCAGTCCACTTCAAGTCCATTAGTCTGATATTAGCCCATCTGTCCGACACAGTCTATAAATTGCTCTTCAGACTCGCACAACACATGCAATGTTGCCGAATGCAGGAAGATTACAGTCCAGTGGGTAGAAAGTCTTGTGGATCCAGTGACGGTGGAAGCATCTCAGCACTGGCGTGGGTCTCCACGTGGCTCTTCCAACTCCAGGGCTCTGGCTCCATCAGCATCATGTCACGTGGCTTGTCAGCAGGAAGACAAAGCAGGGAGAGTGGGTGTGTCCCGCTTCCAGGGAGAAAGATAGGAGTTCCCAGAATCCTCAGAAGAAGGCCATGCCCAAGCAGAGGCCTCATTGCCTGTGACCTGATTGACAGGATAGACTCCACCCCTTCACAAGTTGACAGGAGATTGTGTAACTACCACAGTGTTCTTGCTTCACAGGAGCTTCCTGATGTACTTCTCCCAAGATAGATTTGCTTGTTCTGGCAGACCACGGTGCTTTCCACAGTCTTCACCAGCACCAATATTCGGAAGCATCAGTCCTTCAGTCTTCCATATTCATTATCTAGTTTCACATGCATAGGAGGCCATTGAAGAGAGCATGACTGGGCTTAGTCCTCAAAGTGACATCCTTAGGTATCAACACTTTAAAGAGGTCTTGCGCAGCAGACTTGCCTAATGAAACGATTTCTTGCCTGCTGCTTCGATGAGCCTTGCTTGTGTATCCAAGTCAGATGAAATCCTTTGGCAGTTTCCATCTTTTCTCCATTTAGCATGATGTTACGTACATGTTGTTCTAGTTGTGAGGATTTGGGTTTTGTTTGCATTAAGATGTAAGCTATACTGAGGGCTGCAGTCCTTGATCTTTATCAGTAAGTGCTTCGAGTGTTTTATATATATAGTACTTACATAGGTAGCATTTTCTATAGCCTTGATTCCATAAAGACTTAAATCCTGTGAAATTAGGAAGACAGAAATGTAGAATTTAGAGCTAGCTCAGTCTATGTATAGCTTAACATTCTCTGAAACCAGTGTTATCCGTGCCAGTGGGATGTGCACTGGACAAGATGGGAAGGAGGCCCGGGGAAGGTAACGTTTCAGTTTGAGGAAGACAGGTACCACATCATGAGCAGTTTCTGTGGGAATATAAGAGCTCTTGTCCATATTCCCCAGGGCTTCCTGTTCTCGTCTGAATTTCCTTGTTTATCCTCCTCGTTCCTCCTCTTATGCCCTCCTCTTATGCCCTTCTTTTCCCCCTCTCGCCTCTTCCTTGTGTTACTACTTCCTCACTTGCTGATGTGCGTCCTATGAAGTAGAGAAGTGAGGTTAACAGTGAGATCTGGAGGAGGACCATAGTTATTAGGATGGTTTTATGTTTTCATATTTCCTCCAAACTGCTAGATCACTTTTCCTTTCTAGGCATTTACAACCCAAAGATTTTTTTTTCTTGTCATCCAGTAATAAATATGTTCAGAAGAGAAATGTGTTGCAAAATTAGAGGGCAAAATTAGAGAGTTTTACTCCTTTTGTTTTTATAAAATAGGTTAACTTCATAGAGTAGTACTTAATGCCCCTTGCTTATTGAACTGAAAATGTTGGGTAGGGGGAAACTTGAAAAGTCAAATTAATGATTAAAAGGGATTTAATGAGAAAAGGTAAAGGTTTTCTAGGTTACACATTGTAAATTATTTCTTCTGACTTTAATGGTTTTTAGCCCTTCAGAGTTTATTTTTCAATTGTGAAAAATGTTGAAAAGTTAATGAATTTTTCTTTCCTATCAGAATTTTTTCTTCTCTTTTCTTCGTGCATTCCTGTGGTCCCAATAAAGAAATGAAATAAAATAAAGTTCACTGCAGGGTCTGGGCCAGAGGCCCAGTACCATAGAATAGAATCTGGGGAAACCCTCCTCTGAACTTGGGACCACGAACAAAAACGGAATGGAGAAACGATGGATTCTCTGTGTCAATCTGATTTGAAATTAGCTGAAAGCATTTAGAATCTGCCTGTTGGTTTGTGTGTGGATCATGTGAGAGGAAATGGATTGGGTGGGTCATTTTGGAAGTGTCGTCACTGACGCGACTGTCGCCTGGTATGGCATCTTCTCTATCAGATCCAAGTGATTGAGAATGACATCGCCTCCAGAGGGGGACAGGTTTATGCCACCAACACCAGAGGCCAGGTTCCTCCCCTGGTCACTACAGATTCTGTGATACAAGACCAAGGTATGTGCTTTGCATTCTATTTCTGATTGAGGGTTATACACTTTTGACCTTTTTTTCCCCCGTGGCAAGCTCACAGATACCCTTAAAAAGTGCTACCACTGGTGGAGGAACCTTCCATAAAGCTGAGAATGGATCTAATTCCCTTTTAAATCTCAAGTCCCAAGAAGATGCTGCTAACCGAATTCTCTTCTCTGCCTATAGAGAACAAGAGTGTTTCTAGTAGACTAGCCATGTAAAGAAAATTCTTCATTTGCATCCTTAATTACTTCATGCTCTAGCCATTTAAACCGTTGCCAGGGCAATTTCAACTCTTGCTGACCCGTGTGTGCAGACTACAACCTACAGGTGTTATGGCTCTAACCTTTCAGAGGCAGGTCTCCTGGCCTTGTGGGGTGCCTCTGGTGGGTTTGAGCTGCCAATCTTTTGGTTACTAATTATGCCATTCATCATTAGCATCACCCAGAACTCCAGTCCATGCTCCGTTTGGTTCAATTGACTTATAACACCTGGGAAGTGGGCAGGCCAGGAGTCGGGGGTTTGAGTGCTGGAGAAGAAGACAGCAGACGCAGTGGTAGTGCAGCAACATGTCCCAGCCTGTGTGGCGTGGGGACCTCTCAGCACCTCGGTGTTGTGCTCTGCTCTGCAGGGCCAATGTGAGGATTGGAAGTCACACTGTGTGTGTGTTTGGTGGTAGAATTGCGCAAGGCCATCTTGTTTTTAGAAATCGTGAAGGAAATGTTACAGGTTAAGCAAGTACATCCTCCCAGTGTTTCCCACAGCGGGGAATGCTGCCCCCTGCAGGGCGCTGCAGAAGCAGGTTCCTACCCTGTACAAAAATTCTCATTGCCAAGGAGGGTACCGATTAGTGATTTTTCTGAAAAGGAGGCAGCTAGATCAATAACCTTTGAAGACAAGCCTTTGAAGCATTTAAGTATTTTAGGGAAGATGTTTGGTAAGCAAATTGTAAGTGCGTCCCTTGAACATTTCAGGCAATGCCAGTCCTCGATACATCCGCTGCACAACATACTGTTTCCCATGCACGTCGGACATGGCTAAGCAAGCTCAGATTCCGTTAGCTGCTGTCATCAAACCCTTTGCCACGATTCCTTCCAATGAGGTAAGAATCCTAATGAACGGTGACTTGGTAATCTACCAGTGATGAAGCATGGTCCTCTACTATTCTCACAACACTAGAGTATGTGTGTATGCAATGCAGAAACTTCTTCCATTTCTTAGGAAAGCAGATACTTGTGGCTTTCCACCTGTACATCCATTTGCTCATTGCCTTGTTGTAACAAGGTGTAAGTACAGAAAATTTGTCAAGTTACAGATTGACACATGCTAAGGGTCCTTCTGATCCGGTTCAGGGCCACCATAACTAGGTCTTATTGCAGCAAGATAATAGTTATAAGGGTCTTTGGTATTATTTGCTATTAAGTGCTTGCTGGTAAAGCTCCCATTCATGGTGATCCCATACACAGTTGACTAAAACCCTAAACCCTTCTCCACTCCCCATGAGGAGTTTCAGATCAGACCATTGTGATGCACAAGATGGTCATGAACTGAATTTCATAACTAGACTACCAGGCCTTTATCCTAGTCCAGCTGAGTCTGGAAGTTCCCCTGAAACCTGTTCCCTCTCACAATCACACACAAGCTGCCACCTACTGCACACGAGGTGCATTGGTTGGCAATTGAACTTGGTTCTCCTACATGAAAGGTGAAAATTCTACCACGGAATCCATCACTGTCTCCTTGGCACGACTGCATCTGCTTTAATAATCACTGGGCCAAAATGCGTGTAATCCTCTGCTTAAATCAGCATGATTAGAAGGCAAGGATCTGTGTGTACCAACTTGGAAAGATATACCCAATATATAGATAAATGGACTGGGGGCTGCGGGGTGGAAATCAGAATTAAGAAATGGTGTATGTTTAAAGTAAGTGGTATTAGGATGCTGGCAGTGGGCATTGTGATCAGAAGGTTCAGAAAGACCCTCACTCAGCCCTCCACTGCTACTATACCTCTTCTTCTGACGAATAATGGACACCCACATATCTACAGAGACACTGTGGCAGTCAAGTACAAAATGAAGGCAAGCCTTTCTTCTGGCTGGAGCTTTGACTGTAATCCCATGCAGAATCCCAGAAGTGAGGCCAAATCATGGATTCCCATTGCAGCTCTAAAGGAAAAGGCTCTATCTTCTCCTGCTAATATAAACGTCATCTTGGATCTATGTTCTCTGTTTTTTAAATCAAAGGCTGATCGGATGCACATATAGCCCCGCCTATTCCAGGACTCTGTAGAAGCATAGTGTGTTTTTAGTGCCAGTTCTGCATTCAGTGCTTCATACACATCCTGCCGCATGCTGCTGCCATCCGCTCAAGGTGACAGCTCCCCTCCCAGCTCCTCCCTGTGTTTTCTGCCTCCATTCCTCATTTTCCCTGAAAACTCGGAACTTTGTCCTTTGGTAGATACACTCCCTTGATCCCAAAGTGGTCGCTTATTCTAAGGTGGGCACACCTCAGTGGTAGTATTTATCCTCTTGCAGGCCTATCTGTGGTTTGGCTGAAAATGTAGCCACAGGAGTGAGTTCACTTCCAGACTCAAAGAGTGACCATAGGCTTGGGGATTCCACCAATCCCTTCCAACCCTCAAGCCTGGTCTTTTTCATGATGTTGAGTTTCATTCCATCTCTCTCTCCCATTCTACCTAGGCCTTGGTACTGTCATCCTTTTCAAAGCAGTTGGGAGTTGATCCTCCCTAACGCACATTTTTATATCCGGACTTCCTGTCTATCACAATGTTCAGTATTGCTGTGTGCTTTTTTTAAGCATCATTTGGTTCAAAGTAAGTAAAATGTAAACATTCAAGAATTTGAAGAAGAGCGTACAAAGAAAATGAGTTTCCTCCCCGTTACATGCAACCCTCACCTGCTGTTTGCGATTCCTTCCAGAAGTCTGGAAGCATATATAATATAGCACATTGTATCCTTGCACAAAGCAGATAGATAAGTAGTCGTGTATTACCCACCATCTCCTGCACTTTCCTTTTTTCACTTGCCACATCTGACTTTCCTTCCATGGCATGTCGTGACTTAGAGAGCTGTCTCATTCTTTGCAACAGCTGTGGCATGCTATACTGAGGGCATTAGTGGTTCAGTGATACACTTTTCTTCTGCTGGGGAGACCCAGGTTTGGTTCCCAGCCAAGGCTCCTCAGGTGTAGTGATTACTCGTCTGTCAGTGGCGCCTTGCTTGCCGCTGTTATGCTGAGTAGCTTTCCATGGAGCTTCCTGACGAAGACAGCCAGCGAGTTGGTGCCTGACTATCAAAAGATATAGTGCCTGGGGTCTTAAGGCTTGAAGATAAGCAAGCGACCATCTAGCTGAGAAGCAACAAAGCCCACATGGAAGAAGCATACCAGCCTGTGTGATCATGAGGCATCAATGGGATCAGGTATCAGGCATGGCATCCAAGACCCAGGACAAAAAAATCTTATCTATGTGAATGAGGGGGAGGACGGAGTGGAAGACCCAAAGGCCATCTGTAGACAATTGGACATCCCCTTACGGAAAGGTCACAAGGAAGAGACGAGCCAGTC